TCCGCGTGCTTGACGGTAAATATTTCAATAACATTAAAACCATTAACATTATAACCATTATAGATTCAACGGTATCTAATCAATAATTCGATTTGAGTTCATCTAAAATTCGTGTAGGAAGCGAGTATACCATCAAGAATACCGTCAAGAATACCGTCGCTACGATATTCACGCCAAAGGTGAAACAGAAAGGGGATTTGCGCTCTTTTCATCTTGATAGGTAAAATCGGATGGGAGAATCGGAAAGGATCCGAGCCATAAGTGGTCCAATCTACTGGTCGTGAAACGGTTTCGTGAGGAAGGCGGTGGTTTGACCGCGCTATGAGGAGGAGGAGAGGAGGGGGGAAGGGACGACAGGAGGACGCCTCGAACAGGCAGGTTGCTGCTCGGAATCGACTGCCAGGCAGGTGCGCCTTTCTCGCGCAGGGCAAGGCAGGGCAGGGCAGACAAAGGAGTCCAGAATCCTCCTGGCGAATGGTATTTCGAGCAGAAAGCCGGCTAACAGCAGTGACGCCAAACCCGATGGATTCCGCCGTCGGGCGAATTTCTCGAGCGAGTGGTTCAGTCGATGCACGCGTGACCGCTGAATACGATCCGCTATGGAATTTCGTGCCATTGTGTATTTGGGGTAATTGCACCGACTCCTAAAAAAAGATGGCCGACATTCGGGATCATCCGAATATTTAAAACTATCCCCTTGTCGAACAGGTATCCGGATATCGTCGTTGAGAACTTTTTAATCTTCACTATGAGGAAACAAATAATGAAGATAGTCTAAAATTTTTTTTACGATAAAATTTGGAAATTTTATCATTTAAATAAAAATCTGGATCAATTAATTAGAACTTATCGATTCTATAATTTTATAAATTAATAATATCGCTAATGAATAGAAAAAAAAACAAAAACAAAATTTTGCTATTAAGTTCTACGATCAGCCATTATTCACTAGAATCGATTAGTGAGTTATTTACTCCGACTTGCGACTTCTTTAAACTCTCTCCCATATAATTCCGATCTATATCATTGTTTCCATGGATGCTGGTCAGTTATTGATACACCGAATAAATCGTAAACCTCCGCTCAAAAAATATAATACCAATATTACCACCGTAGAAAATTTCATCATCAAATGACCACGTCCCTCTTGCACTCGGAAGCATAATGGATACGAGAGAGTACACCATCATCACGCGCGGAGATCGTTACGTGGCCCGCGCGATCGCACGATCGATTGGTGTCGGGCGTGACGGGGGATTCGCGTGGATAGCGGTTTGCTGCCCAAGCGGCCACGTGCAAACGGATAGCAGCTCCCCTTTCACGGGCGACTTACTCTTCGCCCGGACCTGCAATCAGGGCAAGATTGTAGACATCTGCCGGCCATCTGCCGGCAGCGGCCTTCCGGAGGGCCGGCAATAGTTGGCTCTTGCAGCGCTCCGCATCCTTCTCATCCAACAACCACGTTTATGGCAAGGTACACGAACGCGTTTGAAATCGCACGCACGCACGGAGACTCGTATCGCTCTTTCTTGTTGCTCGTCCTGTTGCGCGTCAATATAACATGCGAGCGAGGTGCGATCCAGATTTATAATGACGTAAACGCACACGCGTGTATATGTGGCTTGATGATCCCGATAAAATCTCAAATATCCCATGTTCATGAGCGTAAGAGACGCAAGGAGGTGGCAGAGAAGGGTGCTTATCTCCTTTTTGGAAAGGAGAAATAAATTATGAAAATCATTTTTACGATGAAAAATTAAACACTCATTGCTCAATTTGTGACGCACACCTTATTCGTAAGGAAATTTACTGAAGATCCTCGAAGGTTGACTTTAATCTAAGTAGTTCAATAATAATTAGTTTTACGTGAAATTGTTACATTATTAAATAATTTTTTTAACTCAAATATTAAAGCATTTATTTGATCCATCCTCCTTTATTCTAGAGAAATGTAAGAGTGAAATTTTGCTTGTGTTAAAAGAGACCCATTTTGCAGACGAGGGGATCAACTTTTTCACATGATGGATCGTTAAGGTTAAGTATGGCGTGTATCGAATCGATGTAACAAGCCGAGCAATCTTATCTATATTTTCATCACGTTACAAATCCGCGTTAAAAAAATGTGCATGTCATCACATGCTGCGCGCATTCGTCTACCCATGGCGAGCAAATGACTTTTGCAATTAAATCGTCGATGCATTATCGTTACAAGCGCAATGATCTTGCCTCAGTGCCGCCAGGCCAGGTGTAAAATCACAACGCCGCTGAGTACCAGGTGTGTGTAACCTGGAGCGGAGGTGCAGAATCAGGCTCTCCGTCAGCCGGCGAGATTAATTTAACGAGCAGCTCGTGCGGGATCATAAACTGCATGGAGGTTAAATCCTAATTAGCTCCCCGCGGTCTGTGCAGGATTCTCTAGAATATATCTTAAAGCCATACACAATGCATACACTGGAAAAAGAGTCAGGTTGTATTAATTGGAATTCTGGTTGAAAACGAACAAATAAGAATTTTCTAGTTGAATTCTAGCTATTATATAATTATAACTGATGTAACCAAAATTCTGATTATTATCTTAATATGATCAGAATCTTATGATTTATTTATTTTCAAGAAATCAGAAATTTGTCTCAGTATATGCATTGGTTTTCTTGGCCGCAGCATCTCGATATTCGCGCTGATGATGACATCGATTAATTAAGGATGTGGATCAAATGTTCAATTTTCTTGCGAAAACTTTGATTAATCGCGGGGAAATAACAAGGCCTCAGCCTCATCAGGCGTCGTCAACTTGGCGTTATCGTCGAGTGTTGAAAGTCATTAAGGAACGAATGATAGATTGTCAAAGAGAAAGGGAATGTGCTGCAAGACATAGCTGTACCTCCCTTTTCTCCCTTAAGCTTAAATGTTTCTCGAATAGTGAATAACGAGGATAGAATAATGAAACTTAATGGAAATTTGAGAATGCCTCTATCGCGTTCTTGCGCCTAGACCTTTTCGATCTCGTTCTTTGTTGTCTTTTCGGCGATCAGCGATTATTCTTGCAACCGACCTTACCCAGTATCCGCGTCATGCTTTCCCGAATCTATAACTTGAAGGTCGTGTAATATATTCGTGACTGGCGACATCGTGGCGACCGACACAAATAAAGCGCAGACGGATGGACGGATGGACAGACGAATGGACAGACAGGGACGATGCTGTATTTTTAGACGTCTAACCACGGCAGAGAACACCGCATTACGTAGCCACGAGCTCGCTAAAGCGAGCACGTAGATAATAATGTTAGGGGATTATTATATTTCGTATCATGTGTTTTAACTTAATTGCAAAATTGAAGGATAATTTATTCTTCTAAAATATTTTATAAAAATCATCCAATTATATGGAATTAATTAATATCGAAAAATGTGAAATTGTAGCTAAACTTCATAATAAAAAGATGTTATTCTCTACGATTATATTACAAGTAAGTAATTATAATCCTTTAATAAATAATTCTCTAATAAATAATTCTCTGATATCGCAATCTTGACATTTACTCAGTTAATCCTTCAGTATATTCATATTTTACATTTTTATTTCATAAAAATTCATGGAAATAGCGTGCGCAAAATTCCACTCTTCTCTCTGTTACTCAGTACTTCCTTTCTTAAGAATAATTTAAAAAGTTCAGATGTACATCTAATTAATTCTGAATTTGTGACACTGTTTGATTCATTCTCCCATAATTGCGTAATCGCAGATTCTTTGATGGAGAACGTACATGGAGGCAGGAACTTCGGGATGTCTCCAATTAGCATTTCACTTGTCTGTACTCATCGTCGCGTTATATAACAGCGGGTAATATAGCTCAATAGATCTTACGAAGTCGCTCGAGCGCGCTTGTACGAGGTGTAATACCCCGGTAATTCGCGCAAGCAATGGGGACACTTATAGCACTACGTACACATACCTACGTATGTGCACAAATCGTCGTCTGTGTGCCGAGTACCGCCTGGAAGAAAAACCTCAATTTAGTTTATAGTGTCAATTGAATGAACAGACGGGGTACGTGATTTATTTTTAGACCTGCATCATGGGGGTCTCCGCTGCATTAAGCGGTTACGTGTGTGCACGCTCATGCACGAACGAGCTCATCTCTACGCCGTGCTGGCGACGACAGCATCATCGGCGAACACTAAGAGCAACGTCACACGGGAGACGTTCCTGCGATGATTACGTCGTCCGTGCAATTTTCATTTCCTCGGCTATACAGAAATAATTAAATGACTATTTCTATCCTAGCCGCGTGTGCAGTATTTTTTTAAAAATTATTTATTTTGAATTGTATGTCGAAAATATTGTTTTTAGTTTATCATTATATCTTTGAAAATAAAAGCTCTTAAAAAAAAGAAAAGAAAAGGAAATTTGCAAATTGAAATTATATTGCCTTGAATGTTTTGACAATACAGATAAATTTTTTCTTAATTTCAGAATATAAGGCATGTACTATCAAAGTAATGTCAAATTATACTTTATTTAAGTTATTTTTAATTTCATTTCTATAGATCATCACTTCTACTTAATACATCATTAATTTAACAAAGATTGATACTCAAATTTAATTTATTATTTACTAATTATAAGTACGTTAATATGAATGTTGTTTAGTTTGAAACTAACCACAGCAATGGATTGATTTACAGCAATGGATTGATTTGACGTACGTGGAAATTAAAAATAACAAATTGTTTTTTTACTCAAGAGATTAAGTCACATTGTTTCTTTGATATCTAACAGCGCGATTCAGGTATTTCGAAATTTATAATTTTTAATCGCATTGTGCATGACGATTAGTTGTATTCAATAATCGATTAAAATTTAAATAGCGCTGAGCGAGCGTTATTTATGTCGAACTCGCGGATGTCTAAGAAGTCGCTCACATTATTATTTCTTGATCAATACAGCGGTTCGTTTTGGCAGGTCAATCAGAAATCTGTTCGAAGAACTCGACTTCGAAAGATGAGAGCGACAGATTGCATTTCGCGAAGTCCGCACGGATGCTGGAAATGCTTACAATTTGGCATGAACTTATACCGAGGAATTTCAAAGGGGAATGGCAAACTCTCGAGTTTAAGTAATAGAGGTTTAACCCTCTATGGCTATGACGAGGGATTTACCTCGATCCTCAACTCAAGCGGCGTTCACAACATCACCACACGAACTACTAACACAGACCATTCGCGGCAACTTGCTCATCTCACGTAAGGATCGATAAGCTTGTGCAGTTATTGCAAATTTCTCGCCTTCGTTAATCCTCAACCTGTTAAATCTGCTCTTCCAACAGCAATTTTACTCTAGTAAGCTAAATACAAAATTGCAAATGTCATACAATTGATATTTTTTTCTCATACGATCTTCAGTTGAACTACGTTCGATAAAATTATTCAAATATCCTGACTTCCGATCACAAAGAATTATAAATGAAAAGTATATCTATCATGAAAATGCGTCTAGATTACTTCATGTAATATGTTAACTCTATAAGAATTTTTCATTTTTTGCAGGTTTGAGAAATTACTGACTTATCTTCATTATAATCTCACCACGATTATAGTATTTACGTCATAATTCTATATAATATATAAGTCTCCCTTAAATAAAGCAATGTAAAAGAATTGATCCCTCTCACTACAATTTCAATCTCCATCTTATACGCCACGTCGTTATTACCGACACCCTTCAGGCAATCCACTCTTCCGCCTCAATCCTTTCGAGTTAATGACCACGAATGAAATCGGAGCACTCCGCTTACACCAAATTGTCTGTATGTATAACGATTTTAAATAAAGGGTGGAGATCCTGCGAACGAAGAAAGGAAAGAAGGAAGGAAGGAAAACGCCGAGAAAGGACATACAACGTCCCAGCCCTTTCTCGGCGACCGGGCAGGATCGATGGAGCGCGATTGAGGGTCCTCGAAGACAGGATCCGTCCTTCGACCTACATACTATCCGCCCGCGCGCGCGTATAAAAACCCGGCCTGTCGACTTCCGGTCCTTCGGACGCCCGATGCAGCCCGGGGCTTTAAGCTCGCTCCGGGGAAACCTCGGGAGTTTTTACGAGCGCAGTTTATGGAAGCGAGCCAGCTGTGCTCGCGATAAACCCGCTGTACCTACCTACGCTGAATGTGTGCACATACATTCACACGAAAGCATACGGGAAACACATACACACAATACGCGCGCGCGCGCGCACTCGAAAGCAGTACATCATATAGGTACACGAAAAGCACACAAGTGCGTCAAATGCATTGCAGAGTGCAGACATACAGAGAGAGAGAGGTTTCACGAATAGATACGAATCACACATACACGTATAAAATTGCATCATACAACTACAAAGGAATATTGCATCGCATATGTATGTGCATTGCCCGAGCCGTGCCGCTCGGATGGTCGCGCTGTGCCAAAAACTTCCGTTTACGATCGCACGAAAATGTTGATTGGAGCATCGCGATGTGAGCGACGCGTGACGCGGAAACGTTACCGTTGAATTTATCGGCGTTTACTCCCTTCGCTCGCGTTTACGTTTGCGAGGTACAGTTAAATAAACCGAGATTTTTAAATCACAAAAATACGACAATCTTTAGAAATGTTTTGCAAAATGATATAGCTGTATGATGATGATAGATGTAAATGATAAATATAATCATAAGCAAGATAGATCTAATTTATATCTCTAAAAAATATTTAATAATACAATATTGTTTACAATATTGTTTACGGAAAAAACAATTTTGCTGATATATCTAGAAATTTAAGTAAATAATATTTGAATAATTTTGTTGAATCATCAAAATAATTGTAGGAAATTCAAGAATGATGAATGATGTGCAAAATATTTTGACATTTTAGTTATTTGTTTCCTACATAAAATAATATTTTGATAATTCACAAAAAATGATTTTCAGATCTATATCTAACTAAATTTTTATATACTTCAAAATCATTTATCAAAATCGTTAATTCTGTGATCGTAATATAAATTGTATAAAAAATATTACTGATAAAGATATAAAAAATATTGTGAATTA